ACAAAATGAGACGGCTGCACAAATTGTTTCTGGGTACACAGAGGGGGGTGTGTGCAGCCGAATTCCTACCGTTGTTTGCCGATGTGTTCATGGCGAAACTCGAAAATAGCCAACTCAAATCGTCCATTCAGGATTGTGTGTTATATACACGATATGTGAATGATATTCTGTGCGTGATCAACACATCGGGAACAAATGAGCTATTGAGCAAGTTCAATGCAGCTCACCAGAACATAAGATTTACTTTAGAAATGGAAAACGACAATAAATTGGCATTTCTAGACGTCTGTTTGAGTCGTAGATCGAATGGCTCGGTGCAACGATCAGTGCATAGGAAGGCGACTTGGAAGGCCCAATATATTCATTTTCGCAGCTTTGTACCACTCAAAGTGAAGAGGAATTTGGTGCGCTGCCTAGTAGATAGACCAAAGAAAATTTTTAGTGAGGACGCAATAGTAGATGAGCTCCGGTTCTTAAGTACTATCTTCAAACACATGAGCTATCCAGAACGATTGGTTGGCAAGATGATTCAGTGCAGTGGAGATATGGTGAAGAAGACCGAGGTCAGAAAGAAGTCGGTATACATTGCCCTGTCGTTCAAAGGAGGATACATCGGCACAAGTAATACAAAGGAGACTATCTGATGTTGTTAGTAATACCTTCTATGCAGCAAAGCTCTATGTTTGGTTCACTTCCCAGCCAATTGTGTGTTTACGACTAAAGGACAAAATGCCGGATTCTGCCGTCTCATTTTGTGTGTACTCATTTACGTGTTCCTGTGGAACCACGTACATAGGCCGCACGGTCAAGCGTTTGTCCGAAGGAATCCGTGAACACCACCCCGCATGGCTAAACACAGGAGCGATTAAGTCAATCACTAGTGCAGTGGTTTCACACCTAGTTGAAACAGATCACACTGAATGTGACCGAGGCATTCCGTCCCCTGTATCGGGTTCGTGGTCGATTTTCAAGGCAGGTTCGCTATCTTATGCTAGCCACAGCGGAAGCGGCAGGAATTCGGCTACACAACCCCCCCCTCTGTGTACCCAAAAACAATTTGTGCAGGCGATTAAGCTTCCCCGGCCCACCCCATACCCCATTTTCTGAGTGGTCCCAACGGTCGGATGACTTAGCAATTATGTGATCACTGAGAATTCCACATCCGGTCCCAAAATGAAATTAGCCCCAGATAACCCATGAGGTTATTTTCCCTTTCATAAAACATTTGTTTGCGTTTTTATGGTCGAATACTGATGTAAATATGAACAGCGTAATATTTATTGCAATGTATTTGACATGACTACGAATCGCTGAAAACGAGCTTGTTCGCCACTCCTTGTTCTATTTGAAATGTGCTCTGTGGGGCTGTTTAGACAATCTCTCCTTCATTCTGTGATCGGAACGACCCAAGAGAAGTCAAACAAAGAACCGGGAATATTGGGCGTTAGTCACGAACCTTAGTGCTACTTTAAGACTCAAAGCACTCCTCAATGCCTTCGGTACAGAGGGACATATGAATAGTTTGAAATTTGAATTCTTACATGGGAGAACTTTCCGCGTGATATCAAATGATTCCAACTCCACTCTGAGAAACCCCACTAATGAACTACACCAGGATCTTTACTACGATCCACCTTATTTCTGCAATTCATAAATCATCTCCAGCCGCCTAACTTTTACCCGATAGACGATTTAAAGGTTGCAGTTCCACGGTTTGAGAAGATTTGGGTTTTGACGTTTAGTGTCGGAGGCGTCAAGCCTATGGTCATAAGCACCTACTGTTCACTCATGACAAACGACAACCCGCTCCCCTAAACTATTTTTCAGACTAAGGTGGCGCAGTGGTTTAGTCGCTGTCACCAGCTTGCTTTAGACCCTATGGTCCGAGGTTCAAGGACCGCCACCCAACTTTGGTGGTAGGTTGCTTTGCTGTCGTCCGGTTTTATACGATGCCTGAGCTAGTGAGGCCTTACGTGGTTAACCACTTCTTGTCTTACAAACTGGGACCCAAAGGATTGATCATTTGAAGACGTTGAAGGACATAGCAGCAAACGGTAGTGACATTCTTTTTGTCATTTTTTATCAAATCAGAGTGCTTGAAAAGGTATGGATTTACAACCAGGTTGTGCACCCTGCGTATTCTCTCTTTTCCTAAAGTGGACACACTCCTTGTTCACCTTGTTCATTCTTACTTACCTTGTAGGCGCTTCACAGCGGTCGATAAAGTTCGCTTCACCATACTCCACAGTGCGATGATAATGACGTACCGTCGGACTCTCTAATTACCTCACTGTTAATTCCCTTGGTCTCATTCTTCTAAGCAAATTCAAACGACTGTCACTGTTACCAGTACCTTTAACCTCATCCATATGCTTCCATTTGGTTACGTGTCATTTCTCGTGATAATTCCTAGGACTCCTGATGAGCTGACTTGGGATTTTCGCGAATTGTCTTTCTCGGCATTCGGCGTACTGATGTGCGATCTTTTAAAATGACAGCGTTGGTCGAATAAATTCATGTTTTGTGTTGATCAGAACGCTCATAAATAAGGTATTCTAGTGTTCTTATCGATGTCATAACGTTTTTGAGATGCAAGTACTTATTGATGAACGTTCTCATTTCAGGTCAGAATGCATGAACTTTTGAAATATCAAGCTTCTATTCTTTTGGATATACATCAAGACAGTTCGCTTCTGGTGATGGCTGAAGGACTGGGCTTGGACACCATAGTGTATTCTACACTTAAGCTTCATTCATATCCTCATAATTTGTTGCTGGTTTCAAACTATCGCATGGCGGAGGCTCGTTTTCTCTCACTACTTCTCAGCCGGGATGGAGTTCTCCACTCTCCGAGTATCATCACAGCTGAAGTGAATAATAAAGAACGTGAGGCAATGTACAAACGAGGTGGAGTAGTGTTTGTCTCTTCCCGGATTCTCGTTGTTGATTTACTTATGGATCGGATGCCAGCGAGTCTCGTTTCCGGGGTTTTGATTCTGCGTGCTCATGAAATGCAAGAGGCATGTCAAGAAAATTTCGCTATTCGTTTGCTCCGTGAGAGAAACCCTTCGATTTTCATCAAGGCAATGAGCGATAATGTTATGTCAATCACATCGGGCTACAATCATGCAGAAAGAATAATGCTACAATTGGGCATCCCACGACTAATATTGTGGCCCAGATTCAACGTGGATGTGGTAACGTGTTTTGATGACGCCCAGCCACAAGTTGAGGAAGTTAGGGTATGTATGTTCTTAAATTTGCCCGGGTTTGGTTTATGGTCATTGGTGCATTATATTTTGGCATTTCATTTTTACAACTGATTTAATGGTAGGCTGCCACCGTGTTTCCTAGAAGGAGGTCCACGCTACCCTCAACCATATCGCATAAGATCGTCAAATGCAAATCTCATACGATTTCTCTTTGGTCAAATAACGATGATGGAATAACCTTAATCACATCTAAAGCAAAAGAATTTCTTCATATGTAGTTCAGTTCAGCTTTTGCAACGATTAACCACGCGCCATTGCTTACAACACTTAGCCATATTACTCAGTGGCTCTAACCACCGGTTACCATGATATCGAGATCTGCATCTTGGAGGCCCAATGCAACCTATCGTATATAGCGGGAAAGGAGTGCAAACGGAAAGGCTTAGAAGCGTTCTCAATTTGCACCAACCTTGTTAAATCTCGCCAGCGATGTATTTCTATCTGCCTAACGGAACATTGCATCTGGAACTCACAGACAACAGAAGTACAGTATTCGCTTGATCATCGGACATCTAATTAATAATACCCTCTAGGGTTTATGAATTAGATGTATATATATATGTATTTCATAATATGTAGTATGTGAATGACTGATCAAAATTTCCCTGGAAGCATACGACCGGCTTCGCGGTTCTTGCCGCTCGTCAGACATGCGTATCCGGTAATC